AGAAACTGCGTATTATCTAGATTTGTGATTTGAGTACTTATGCCTAACCAATTTTCCATCTCTCTCTATCTCTCGGACAATCAATAATAATAAATTTGTTTTTAGATACATCTAAAATGTTTCGCCACCTCATCCGATAAATAATTCGCAGGTGTTAAAACTCGTACGTTTGTGAAGTATACAACGAGGACTGAGAATAGCACCCTCTTCATATACATTCATCAGAATCACTATACATTCATCAGATCCCGGATATATTATATATATATTATATTAATAATAATATTATATAATAAAAATATTTATTATATATATATATATATATATATAAATTATATAAAAAATATATATATAAAATATATGTTTGTTGCCGAATATGTAATACTGGTCAATTTGCAAGAATCATTTAAAATAAGTCCTTTCCAAAATTTTCTCTTATACTTTAAAATATTTTTTTTTATTAATGTTAAAATAAATTTTTTTTAATTTTGCCCAAAAGTACTTAGAAAACTTACTAACTTATTATAAAAAGAGCAATTTATTTTAGCCTAAACCAATAAATATAAATTTATGATTTTTTACAAAAATTTAATACAAAAACACAGTGAAAATTATTTTTTTTGTTAGGTTATAATGTTTTTTACGAAATTTTCATACACAAATTTTCACTTGTCCTATAGGGAAAATTGGCGTTTTGGGGGGAAAAGAAAAGGGAAAAAGGGTTTTTTTGGGGAAAAAAAAAATTTCGGGGAAAAAAAAGGGGGAAAGGGGGGGGGGAAAAAAAAAAAAAAAAAGGGGGGGGGGAAAAGGGAAAGGGAAAAAAAAGGGGGGGGGGGAAGGGGGGAAGAATTTAAAAAGGAAAAAGGGGGGAAAAAGGGGAAAATTTTTTGGGGGAAGGGGGGAAAAAGGGGGAAAAAGGGGGAAAAAAAAAAAAAAAGGGGGGGGGGGGGGCCCTTTTAAAAAAAAAAGGAAAAAAATTTTAAAAAAGGGGGGGAAAAAAAGGGGGAAAAGAAATATTTCAATAAGGAATTATTTTAAAAGGGGTATTAATTAAAAAAGGATTTTATTAAAAATTTATTTTTTGAAGAAAATAAATAAAAAAAAAAGGGGGGTTTTAAATTTTTTAAGAATTTACGTATTATGGAATTGTATACTTCGATTTTCTTGATATATATCAGCTTGCTCTCTTTAATTTTGAATTCATGTAAACAGTCAACCTGCATACCTCATTCTTCTGTCACTCGAGACTGATACTTATCAGAATCGTGAGATTTTTATTGTATTTTTGAGAATGTTTTAAGATAATGGTATATAATTAGTTTGATTGAGTATTAGTAATTTTATTTAATATTATGGACAAATAATTAATATAAATTTGATTTAGATAATAAATGTGTGCCGACCATATGATAAATAATGGCAATGTAGAAGATCTATTTGGAAGTATACAACGAGGATCGAAAATTTTCCTCTTATATACTTATAGAAATATTTATAGATTGATATATAAATTATAATATAATATTTAATTTGACAAAAGTAATTAGAAAATATATATATATATATATAAAGACAATATATAATTATTAGTAAAATAAATATATATATAGAGTGTTGCAAATAAATGGTTAATAGCAAAGAACACAGTGAAAATTAAGTTTAATTTTTCTATAGTTAAATGATTTTTGACGAAATTATGATAAAAATTTTTATTTGCCAAAGTACTATAGACAAATGAGCCGTACTATTATAAGCAAGAGCAAGTTATTAGGCCTACGGCACTAAATAATATTTATAATATTATTAATAATTATATATAAAAAACAGTGAATATAGATATATTATTTTAGGATTCGGATTGAATTGACGAAAATTATGGAAAATGGAACAAATGTTCACAGCTGTGGTTGAGAGGCAGATAGGTTTGTATTTGAGAGGAGAGATCGACAAGTTGTATTGCGGTAGAGGATATATGGAAAATGATAATATGGATTAATAATTAAAAGAGTAAGATATGTAATATTATATATAGTAGTGTAGGATTCGATCTGAATACCTGAAAATATGGAATGGTAACAAGCGACACCCGGAGTGTGGGGATCTGCAGCAGTAGTTAGATAGAGACGAGAGCGACACAGATGGTGCGAGTAGAGAGAGAGAGATGAGAGATGAAATCGAATGAAACGAGAAGAGAGATGAAGACGGGAGAGAAGGAGAGATGAGAGGCTCGACCCCGTAGGAGAAGGATAAGTAGAGAGGGAGGGAGAGGTGAGCAAAGTAAGGAAGAGGAGAAGTGGTGAGAGAGAGAGAGAGAGAGAGAGAGAGAGAGAGATAGAGAGAGAGGGAGGAGAGGAGAGAGGAGGAAGAGAGAGAGAGAGAGAGGAGAGAGAGAGAGAAGAGAGAAAGAGAAGAAAAGAGAGAAGAGAGTGAGAGAGAGAGAGAGAGAGAGAGAGAGAGAGAGAAGAGAGAGTGGAGAGAGAGAGAGAGGAGAGAGAGAGCAGAAGAGAAAGAGGGAGAAGAGAGAGAGAGAGAGAGAGAGAGAGAGAGAGAGGAGAGAGAGAGAGAGAGAGAGAGGAGAGAGAAGAGAGAGAGAGAGAGGAGAGAGAGAGAAGAGAGAGAGAGAGAGAGAGGAGAAGAGAGAGAGAGAGAAGAGAGATGAGAGTAGAAGAGAGAGGAGAGAGAGAGAAGAGATAAGAGAGAGAGAGAAAGAAAGAGAGAGAGAAGAGAGGAGAGAGGAGGAGAGAGAGAAGAGAGAGAGAGAGAGAGAGAGAGAGAGGAGAGAGAGAGGAGGAGAGAGAGAGAGAGAGCGGAGAGAGAGAGATGAGAGAGAGAGAGAAAGAGAGAGAGAAGAGAGAGAGAAGAGGGAGAGAGAGAGAGAGAGAGAGAGAGAGAGATAGAGAGAGAGAGAGAGAGAGAGAAAGAAAGAGAGAGAGAGAGAGAAAATTAATCTCAATCAGAAAAGGTAAGGTGAAGAGAGGTCACGGTCAGTGGAAGAGAGGTTAAGAAACAGATAAGCTCAGGTGAGGAGAGATTATGAGACAGCCAGGTCAGGTGAAGAGAAGTTAAGAGATTCAAAGTCAGGTGAAGAGAAGTTGAGACAGAGCCAAGGTGATTTCACTTAGAGAATTTAAGAGAACAAGAACAGATAATATAGAGAAAATAGACCAGTGTCAGGTCAAGAGATGTGTTCTCAAGACCGAGTATCTGACAGCGTACTGGGGAGACCAGACACAAGCCTGAGGTGAAGATTTAAGAAGACGGCGTCTTTGATGGTTCCAACAATGATGACTATCATGGTGAAAACCTGGCATATAACACTTTCAGGTAGTGGGTAAACATACCTGAACACACATTAACGACATGTCATAATGTAAAGGGTTTGGTCCTGAGATATTGTTCACTATGGTTATTAGTAACCTGGCAGCAAATTACTATTACATTCATGAGGAAACGCTTAGCTCGTGGTGATCATACGAACCTTAGGGATGGGCGGTGATCAGATTTGATCCAACACAGGGAAGGGTAGCTGTACTCTTTTTATCAACAGTCCTTCACCAGCATCAGGGCACGTCCCTCAAAGGGACACGACAGCAAAGCGCGTGGTCAGAGTCGACAAGACAAACAGTGGCTTTCATATTTAAGTCTGTCGAAAACTGAACGGTCAGTACCATCGCTGTATTGGAGAAGGCCAGAGTGATCTTGTATAGTCACCTGAGGCATCGGCGGCAGGACTGCATTCGTCATAAAAAAAAAAAATCGCCTAAAACGGGTTTAGCATATAATGACGAGATCATCATACAAATGGTGCAAATACCTCTCCACTTCTATCTCTAGGATTGACATCACCCCAGTATTCGACTTATGAGGTATGAAGCGTAAGCAAAACGTTCCGTCAATAAAAATGTTTAAGTGTTGTACTTGAGTCTTGTTTATCAATGACTCGTTCAGTAGTGCCTGCTATAGGCGACAGTGCCTACTGACATGCTGTAGCAGCTGACCTGGTTGCGTAACTGCTGGCTTACTAGTCAGCCTGAGTGTGATCAGAATGAGCAGTCTGTGATCATCATGGCCGGCATGAGGACGGCAAGAACGAGTCAAATGACTGGAAAGACAAAAGTGTGCTTGCCCTTCCGTGTTCTCAGGGAGAGTCATGTCTACTTCCCAGGTGGCATTAGGTGAGAGTAGTAATTAGAGGGAAGGGTCAGGTATGTCCCCTCCTGTAGCCTCCAGTGAGAGAGGGGAAACAACGAGGTTAGGGTCAGGCGGGAAAAGGGTAGTGAGAGAGGATCTCCCTATCCTGTGTGCTTTGGGCTTAAGCAAAAAGGGTTGAAGGGAGCTACGTAGGGCGGTGTTTCCTGGTTGAATATTATTCTAGATAAATAAAAAAGGGTTGAAGGGGAGAGAAAGGTGGTTTCTTTTCTGACCTTCAGGTTAGATGGGTAGAAAGTGAAAGGGGTGGATGTGCTGCGCCGAGTCCTTAAGTTACAAAAGGGGTAGAAGAGGGTGGGGCAGGTGTGCCCCTTAGAGTAATCAGGTCAGCAAGCAGGAGCAGGTGGGCGGGGCGGTAAAGACGTAAACGCCCTGACGAGGGCGGTGCTCCCACAGCTGCTGGAGGTGATGTGGGCGGTGCGTGGGCGGGTCCTGTCACATCCGCCCTCGCCACCCACCCCCTGCCCACCGCCACCCACTCTCTAAATCACAGCCTCCATTTTAAAGCTTGTTCGTTTTAAAGTTAACCCGTTCAGTGGGTGCCTCCGGTAGCGGGTGCCAAAGGCTCCACCCACAGCCGACGGGAACCAATCGCGCTCCAGATTTAAACCGGTAAAAAACCCGGGAGGGCGCGAGGTGCAGGAGAGCAGCGCGACCATTGGTTCGCAACTCCCGCCATCGCGCAAGCGCCGCCGCCCCATCACGCAAGAGCGCGCGCGGCCACTTGCGTGAAATTGAATTTTTGTAGAGCGAGTGGAAGCGAGTGGGAGAGTCAGTTGTGTATAGTGAGTGGCGGCGGAGGTGCGTGGCTGCCCGTGGCTCAGCAGCACCCGTGTGGACACACATACACACACAGGCCATCGATCCAGCCAGCAGTGTGATTCCTGCCACCGCCGCTAGATGGTGCCCACTCCACCACAACACACTTTCCCAGACGTCAGTAGCAGAAGAGACTTTACTGCCGTGGGCTGTACGCCCTCTCCTGCCCGCCCGCGCCCACACATGTTCCTCTATACGTGAGTACTACACCCATGACGTGACAAGTGGTGTGCCTGAGGCAAAGGTGTGCGTGTCTCCTGAAAACTGTTCTTAAAAGGTTAAAAAATAATAAGGCGACCATTTCTTTGGCGAGGGGAAGCTCCCATAGATTAGGTTTATGGCGCCAAAATCTATGGCCTTCCCGCCCCATTTTCACCTCGTAGAAATAATTCTCCCCATTCTCCCTCTCCTATTCTGTTGTCCCTTCCTCAATCACAATGAAAGAGACAGGTTCAGAGGCAAAGACGAGAGAGGTGTTAATAAGGGGAAACACAGGAAGGAAATTGACGGTGGATGAGGGGAGGAGGCGGAAGAGGGGAGAAACGAGTCCTCACATCCTGCTAGCTATGTTTCGGGTAGCATCGTAGCTTTCTGGCGCTCTTAGTGGTGGAAATGTTTTTGTTTCGCGTGAGAAAATGCACTGTACGGATGTCTAGTTAACAATGATTCACGACACATGTTAGCGCTCTCTTACCTTCACTGCGTGTGTGTTTGTTTGTATGTGTGTGAGTAAACATCGTACGTTTGGAAGTAAGGGGTTGCCAGTGTGAGTCACATTCTCTCTCACACGCTCTCTCTCTCTCTCTCTCTCTCTCTCTCTCTCTCTCTCTCTCTCTCTCTCTCTCTCTCTCGTTCTTACTCTTTCAGATATTCATCTCATTCTTTCAATCATTCCTCTCACTCATCACTGCATCTCTCATCAACATTTAACAGCTCCTCAAAATATTCCCTCTATCTACCCAGTACCTTCATCTCCCTAATAACTACATTTGTTCCTAGGTTTTCTCAACTTTCAGTCACTCCCCTCATTCTTTCAGCGTTTCCTCTCTTTCAGTGTTTCCTCTCACTCTTTCAGTGTTTCCTCTCACTCTGTCAGTGTTTCCTCTCACCTTTTCAGTAATCCCTCTCACTTTCTCCTACTCTCCCTCTCCTTCCCTTTCTCTCGTACAAAAAAAAAAATTGTCACGTCAACAATTAGGTCTGGCTTTTAGGTGAAGGTGACCATGTCCTGTGTAACATCTTCCACACCTGTTAATGTTATCGTCGTCCTATTAATTTAATAGTCACGGCACCGTGTCAATCACGGCACGGTGAATTACGGCACCGTGCACGTCAAGATACCGTGTGAACCACGCCACCAGGGGTTATGGCTGAGAAGGGAGTGAAGGGTGAAGAGGAAGGTAGGGGAAATAGGAGGCAGGAAAGGTAAGGGGTATGGGAAACGAAGGATACAGAAAGAGGGGAAGTGATAGGAAGATGAAGGGAGGGGATAGGAAGCCGAGGCGAATATGGTATAGTCATTAAAGAATAGAAAGGGAAAGAGGACAATAGTCTTTGTATTGATGGCAATGGTCTTATTGAGGTCAACAGTGTTAATATTGAGGCCAATAATCTTATTACCGAGGACAGTAGTCTTACTATTAAGGGCAATAGTCTTACTATTGAAGGCAGTCTTAATACTGAGAGCAATAATCTTATTATTAAGGACAACAGTCTTACTCTTAGGGGCAATAGTCCTACTAAGGGCTCTTGGTCCAAGGAACGGGAGGTACCCTCCCTCCGCTTTTTGTATCCCTCGAACCGAACTCATCGCCTCCCTTGCCCAGGCATTGCATAGACCCCGATGACTTTAGTACTTACCCATGAAATATAAATTTTTCTTTGGATATGATTAAATCTCTCAGGTATCATAGGAGACGCTACTAGGTAGGAGACGTTACTGGGTAGGAAAAGTTACTGGGTAGGAAACGCTACCAGGTAGGATACATTACTTATCCTCATATCAGACATAAACAGAGATATACACCACAGCACCGTATCATCCTTTGCGGATGATACTAGGATCTGCATGAGGCTGTCATCTGCTGAGGACGCGGTTAACCTCCAAGAAGATAGAAACAAAGTTTTCCAGTGGGCAACGGTAAACAATATGATGTTCAATGAGGACAAATTCCAACTACTCCGTTATGGAAAACTGGAGGAGATAATAACTAGAACAGAGTATACTACTGACTCCGGCCATACAATAGAGCGGAAAAATAATGTAAGGGACCTGGGAGTAGTAATGTCTGAGGATCTCACTTTCAAGGATCACAACAGTGCCACGATCGCACGTGCAAGAAAATGATAGGATGGATAATGAGAACTTTCAAAACGAGAGATGCCAAGCCCATGATGATCCTTTTCAAATCACTTGTTCTCTCTAGGCTGGAATACTGCTGTACATTAACATCTCCATTCAAAGCAGGTGAAATCGCAGATCTAGAGAGTGCACGTATAAGTTCTGTCAAGCACCTTAACTACTGGGAACGCTTGGAAGCACTTGACTTGTACTCGTTGGAACGCAGGAGGGAGAGATATATCATAATCTACACTTGGAAAATCTTGGAAGGAATGGTCCCAAATCTGCACACAGAAATCACTCCCTACGAAAGTAAAAGACTGGGCAGGCGATGCAAAATGCCCCCAATAAAAAGTAGGGGCGCCATTGGTACACTAAGAGAAAACACCATAAGTGTCCGGGGCCCAAAACTGTTCAACAGCCTCCCATCAAGCATTAGGGGAATTGCCAATAAACCCCTGGCTGCCTTCAAGAGAGAGCTGGACAGATACCTAAAGTCAGTGCCGGATCAGCCGGGCTGTGGCTCGTACGTTGGACTGCGTGCGGCCAGCAGTAACAGCCTAGTTGATCAGGCCCTGATCTATCGGGAGGCCTGGTCATGGACCGGGCCGCGGGGGCGTTGATCCCCGGAATAACCTCCAGGTAGGACACGCTACTAGGTAGGAAACGGTACTGGGTAGGAGACGCTACTGGCGGGAGACGCTGCTGGGTAGGAGACGCTGCTAGATGGGAGACGCTGCTGGATAGGAAACAACACTAGGCAGGAATCGCTTGCAGGGAGGTTGGCAAGTGGATGCTTATTAACCACTGAAGGTGGAGACACAGGTGGTTCCTGACTCCCAAAATACGGCCGGTTGGGGTCCTCATTGAAGACCAGTGTCCAGAGACACTGTGGGGGGTTCCTGACGAGCAAAACCTGCATCAGAGGACGATATGAGGGGTGTAACTGACGACAAAATCCCGCACAGGTGACTAGTGGTTCCTGATGATCATGGTCACCTGGAGGCAAGAATTGTGTCAACGCTGCTCACCTGAAGAGATCGATGCCATAAAAACACTACAAGAGCAGCAGGTAGCCTTGCGTGGAGCCTGGGTACCATGAGACGGCATCTCCGGCGAAGATGCGCCAGACTCGTCCAGAGCGGCGCTTCCAATCTGGCGAAGGGCTCCCGATCCAAAGAATCGGAGCTGTCTTCCCCTTTCATGGCATAAAAGCTGATTACCACGTATGCTACGGGAGCTGTATTACCCCTACAGAGTTAGCGACTTCTTATCACTACTGCCTACCAGTGGACTCGCCTTGCCTTCTGGGCGCACCTGCGACAGAGCTAAAATACTGTACCCCTGTCATCGGAATGTGATGGGGGAGGTGCTTAAGACGCCGGCGAAGGCGTCTAGGCACCTACCATTCCTTGACTGCCTCCCACTGCCCCAAACGCTGTAGGACTCGTACGATTTTAGAGCCTACCCATGAATGTAACAGCAGTTACACCAGTGGAAGACAGGAGTGTGGACTGCAGTTATTAGTACAAAATTTGGCCCTAAATAAAGCTTTCCAATTGCTCATAAAAGCTCTACTTAGGACGAAGTCTTGTAACGATAGAGCCTTTCTCTTTATAACCGTGTCTTAACATACCCCTACATTTTTTGTTAGACAACGAGTTTAATAACAAAGACAGGATAGAGCAGTGAAAATGGTTGTGGGCAGACAGAATAAAAGGTAAGGTTATCGGTACACAGAAAAAAAAAAAAAAGGTAAGGTTAGGTGACCTGACCAATTTTGAGTGGATTTTAAGCGAGTGATTTTTGACACATACTTACGAGTGTGATTTAGGTCCAATGACCGTATATCTATCCGGTATATCTATACCGTATATCTATTATTACAATCATTGGGGGGAGGGGGTAATAAAACCGTATGAATCCTGCAGTGCTTGTGGGAATAGATAATGAGATTAGGTCCGAGGAAAAGAAGGCCAGATCCAATTCCAGGATTAAGATTCCTTCACCGGTATCTAAGCACCTCCCTTGAAAGGTGCTAGAGGAAAAGTATGAAATACACCACGGACGGACAGAGACGACCACGGACAGAGGACGGACGCACGGACGGACGAACACACAACACACACATCTTTTACTCACAGACCTGCTCTAACACCTGTCCTCGATTCACACCTATGAAGGCCGTGCACGTGTTACATGTGCACCCACTATTATAAAACACACTGTGCCCTAACACAATACTGTTTCTGTGCACCACGCTTAGCACCTGCAGTGTGCACCAATAATGCAACACTGGAATGGTGCATCTCATGCAAGAGCAACAAACTTCAATGGATCATATGATCTAAGATGTTAGTTATATCTACACCTTTCCCGGATCAAACCACATTACCTCTTACTTTCACCCTTGCAAATTTGGCGATTCCTAATTACTAATATAACAATTATATAGCAAGACATATAATGTATTCTCTACAGATAACTGTTCTTGTACACAGCTGAACATCTGTGCAGTACACCCTAGTGTTTGAGCAATCGGGGTTATATTACAATATATTTCTCGTTATCTACTCGCGTGAATGTGGTATCATGTCTTATAAACAAGATATCATGTTGTCTTTTCATGTGGAAGTGATATAGCATATCTATGAAGAAGATACCATGTTGTCTTCTCGTGTGAACAAGATGCGTCTCATCTTATGAACGGGATATCACGTTGTATGAACAATAATATCCCGTCTTTTGAACGGGACGAGCCTTTCAAACACCGAGGTCATTTTTTTTTTTTTTTTTTTTGGGGGGGGGGGGGGATGTCGTTAAAATCAACTAGGTTAGCTCTTGATAAATTTGGTT